GTAACTCGAAGAGTAAAGAAAACCTCAGTTTGCGGGTGATGTCAAGTTGGCCAAGGTAGTCACAGGTCACATCTGTGAAGTGGGCATTTGGAGACTGTCCCCCCCCTCGGTCATTTGTATCCATGAAGCATGAAGTGGGCATTTGTGGTGATAGTCATAATTCAGCCATGCAGACGGATCATTTATTATGCGCTGCAATGACGTGATGTCATCTTTAGTAGACATCTCCATCATGCCCTGCAGTGTGAATGTAGCCTTAATCACAATATTGTGTTTTGATTTCTGGGGGCATTTTTTTTTTTGAGTTCTCCTTTAACAGAACCAATTTTTCAGCTCAGTCAACCACGTTCTTATGGGTTCCCTGCTCATCATCTTGCCCTAGCACGACATAAGCACTTTCACACTACATCCCTGGTAAAATGCTGCATCAGTCAGCAGTAGAGCTGGGATTTATTTTACCTGACCGTTTCAGATGGAATGATGGGCGGCGACACACGCGCGACAACTACAATTGCTTTCAACAGAAAAGGTAGCCCGTACCAGTTGTGCAATAAGACTTGAAAAATGATGATTATCATGCAGTGGCACCTTGACTTGTGAGTGCCCCAGCTTACAAGTTTGTACTTTTTTCCCATCTGTAATTGTGAAAAGCCTAAAAACTCTACAACCATTTATATTGTGCAGAGTACTGAAAACAAAAGCTAATCTACGTGATAGGATCACATTGGCTTGTTTGCGCCATGTTTATGTCTTCTTGTTGCTGCAGGAAATCATATATTTTGTGAGCAGATTTCACTAAAGTGGAAACACCGCAGAAGGTTTATTGACTAATACTTCCTCTTTTTGGTAATGTGTGTGAGTCAAGGTATTTACAAGGATCGAGGAAGTCTTACTTTATTTGGTAGAGGGGAAAATGTGGCTGTGTAGGGTGAAAATTTCACACAGATGTGTTTCAGCTTTGTGTACCATTGAAGGCGTGAAGCTTGCGATGCATGTTTAAGGGTTCCTCCCTGTTTTTAAATCCAGAAAATGAAGGAAATATGTCTGTGCTCGATCCCTACCTATAGATTTAAACCATTTAAATGAGATGAAGTTGGATTTATTTAAATAGAACTTAAATAAAACTTCAAGGTATGACCAAGTGAAGTGTTTGTTTGACAGCAAGTTCATTGTCCATATTAGCAGTTCCAGCTGAAATGGAAATGTTTGTAACCAATTTTCTGTTCTCCAGTCTGGTATTTCAAAAGTATTTTGAACTTTAAAGGCATCCATTTGTAATATTATTCACTGATTGGCCTAGTTTTTACTTAATATCCCATTCTATGTAGATTTATTATATGCATTAAATACGTTTCTGACGTTTTTAGCCATATTTGGGAAAAAAAAAGCAAAATGACTGATGTCCTGTGTGCCACTGACATGTACAGATCAATACAATAGAAGCTCCTAATTAAAATGCACCTGAAGTTGGGAATGCTACCAAATTTGCTTCGAAAGTAAGAAAAACTCCAGAGGTCAAAGAGTTGTCATGAATGATTTCACGTGAGACTTCAGCACTGTGAGTTGGCTTTGACGATGTTTTTTTTTTTTTTTGGTTACTGTGTGTTTTCCTGTGATGCCACAATGGAAGGGCAATTGTGATAAATAAAGAGAAAACGAAAAAGGAAAAAGTGTGATGATGACCATCGAAGCTGAAAGTGCACGTTTCTGTCCAGTACAATGTGACAAGCATGTAAAAAAAAAGAACAAAATATACACCACAAAGTCTCACGACATAATGTGAAGATTCACCTTGAAAGCACAAGGAGTACTGGCCACCGTGTACCCATGAGAACACAAGAGATTTTTTTTTTCCCAAGTTACAATTAGCAAGCTTAAGTTAAATGCCTTCATTCTGCGCATGCTACATGCCAGTCAGACATAATCACAAAGGTAAGTTTCATTTTAATTTTAGTTGTATTTGATCATTAACATCGTCAAACTCTGGGATTGGGATGGCAATTCATAATGTTTTTAGGATTCTGATTCCATTCTCAATTCAATCGATTTCCATTCTTTATGGATACTTTTGAGGAAAAAATGGAGACTAAACAAGTAGATTAGCACCCACTTTGTTTTATGACTTTATGACATCTGTAACCAAGCGACATTTTTAACATGCAACCTAGATTTTTCTGTGTACTCATGTCCAGTAAGATTTCAACACCCATATATGACATAAATATTATTAGGTAAGCCAGTGAGATATATAATCAACTCAGGTCCAACTCTGATCTGGAAACTCACTCTCTACTGCCTTGGTGAAAGGAGAAGCTAACCGTAGCCAGTCAGACTCGTCACGCGACAGGTTCTACAATAAAGATGAAATGGCACGAACATCGTTACCTGGCGTATTGACAGGAGAGGACGTGGGTCGTTGCCACTGCTGCTGGGTTGAGCACTAAAGAGCGTATCAAAAGCGTGACCGGAATGAAGTTATCGCATGGTGTGTGTGCAAATGCTTTGGCATATTAGAAGTGTTGCCTCCCTTAGACGAAATATTTATATGATTTGCAATTACTGCGAGTTGACCTGTTGTGATGATTTCTAGTAAAATGTAAAATAACCTTTGGGCGAGTTTTTGGCGCCATGTTTCGTGCTAGCCACGCTAGTAAGTAACGTTGCTACGCAACGTGTGTGGCGACCTCATTCGTGCTGATTGGAATTGATACATCCATCCATTTTCTGATCCGCTTTTCCACACAAGGGTCGCGGGTGAAACTGGAGCCCATCGCGGCTGTTTTTGGGCAGTAGGCGGGGGGCACCCTGAACCAGTTGCCAGCCAATCGCAGGGCATACATAGACGAACAACCATTCGCGCTCACACTCAAACCTACGGACAATTTAGAGTGTTCCATTAACCTACCATGCATGTTTTTGGGATGTGGGAAGAAAACCAGAATACCCGGAGAAAACCCATGCAAACTCCACACAGGGAGGCCGGAGCCTGAATTGAACCTTGCACCTCTGCACTGTGAGGCCGAGGTGCTGACCAGCCGACTACCAGGCTGCCTGGAATTGATACAATACAACTTTATTTATGTAGCGCATTTCACAACAGCTGCAGATTTAACAAAGCATTTTACAAAAAACATAAAATAACAACAACAACAACAAAAGAAAGTGAAAGCTGTAAATTAAAACATGAATTAACATGTAATAATATACTTGTATAATGTATAATAATGAATGAATAATGATTAGGGAATAATTTACAAGAATGATGCCATGGAATGAATACTCTGGGAACCAGTTCTCAACAAGAACCCAAGATACAAATCACTACTGTGTAAGACAGGGATGTTGAAAAGTGCAGTGAAGAAAAGTTTACTTGTAGAGCTGATCTGTTTGACATACTATATTTCGATGACATCCTATGTTGAAAATAGTAAATACAAAAAACTGAAAGCTGACCAGTGTCTTCAACAGCGGTTATGTTCCAACTCAGAGTTTATGTGTAAGGACCTGGGGTCGTCAGCTGGAGTGTATCAATAGAGAGGAAATATATCAGGGCAAAAGGAGTGACAAAGTGGGAATTAAAGCAGATGGTTAGTTTGTGGGGGGGGGGGGGGATCACCCCCGAAACTCCCTTGTTGTTCACCCCAGCCGGACCCCCAACCCCTCTTTCTCCTTTCTACCCCCAACCTCTCGCCACAATGCTGAGCTGTGACACGCCCTGTTTTATAGCATATGATTATCGAGTCTTATTCTTCACACATACTTCCAAGCACACACAGATTGGATTGTTGTTTTTTTTTCTGTTAAAATATCACTCAAAAGTGAATCAAATACTTTTACAAATATATACATGTAATTATGATAAATGATCTTGATACTTTTTTTTGTTTTTGTGCGTCATCCATTTTTTACACCTAGTGGCAAGTTTCCACTGGTCGCCTGCATTGCACAGATGTTGAGATATGTATGACATGATTATCAGCAGTCTGTTACTGGTAGGTGGAGATGTCTCACAGTTTGGTGAAGTCCTGCCACATTTTATATCAGGGGTCGAGAACCTTTTTGACTAAGAGAGCCATAAAAGCAAAATATTTATATATATATATATATATATATATATATATATATATACACATAAAACTGCATTTTAAAAATGAATTCAGCAAAATGTCAGTATAATACGGTTCTGAATGTATTCTTTTAAATAGTTTTGTGATAATGCTCACCATTAATGTGAATGGTTTTCCATTCCTCACGAGTGCTAAAAATCCAGCAAAACTAGCGGAATTATAGTGAGTTTACCGTGTCCATACGCGGAGTTGTTGCTGGCTAGCTTGCACCCTGCTCAGTAGCTTGCACGCTTCCTTTCCGCTGTCTCTCGCAGGGTATTTTGATGCGAACGTAGCATGGCGCGTGTCAAAGTGCCGCTTCACATTCGACCGTTTCATCGATGGTATTTTGTCATTGCAAATCAGACACACCGCGGAACCTGTTCTCTCCACAAAGGCGAATCCTTTGGTCCATTCGTCCTGAAGTTGACCATACTTGTCATCTTTTTTTTCTTTTCGCCATCTTATTCGTTTAGGATTAGCTTTGAGCTAATGACCGAGCGGGCTGATTCAAAAGGGGGCGTTTACATGTTTCCTCAGCAACGGCCAACGTAGGCCAGTATTATCCAATCAAAATTGCTCCTGGAGCCAGCTGCAGCCCTGAACAGCAAAAAAATCGATGGATGGATTAAACAAGCAAGAATATTCTGTTTTATCTGCGAGCCAGATACGATCATCAAAACAGCCACGTATGGCTCGCGAGCCATAGGTTCCCGACCCCTGTTTTATATCATCCATCCATCCTCTTCTGTTTATCCAGGGTCGGGTAGCGAGTGCAGCAGCCTAAGCCTGGATTTCCCGCCCTCCAGCCACTTCAACCAACTCTTCCCTGGACCTGTGTAGTGGATGTTAGGCATATTTCATTCATGAATATGTGAACAGCTGGCATCAAACCCTCTGAATCATTGTAATATATTTTTATTAGTGGTCACCAACGTTTTTTAAAGAAAGAGCTACTCGTGGGTATTGATTAATGCAAGGGCTACCATAATGCTACACAGTTATTTAAAAAAAAAAAAAAAAAGCTCAATTTATGATTATGTGTTGATTAAATGATATTGTATCTACGTGAAGACATTCATCCTGTTAATAAGTTCTCAAATTACTCACATTGGTCAATCATGTTTTAACAGGGAATACAACAGATAATATCAGTATGCAACACTTTCTTTTGATAAATCTCTGCAAGTGTTAGCATTTTTTAAATGATTGCTTCGATATGTTTCCAGTAAATCACATTGTCTCAGCACTGGTGAGGTATTTGAACTGGCCCACCGGCTGCTCATGTATTCCTTTCGGGCTGCCTGTTGCCTGCAGGCACCATGTTGGGACTTCTCTTTTAAATCATCCCACTGAGCAGCACAGCTCTGGGATGCGTGGGCCACTTGAACAATTTGAGGTGAGTGGGGAGGGGATGGTGGGGGTCTCCAATTGCCCACTTCATGGCGCAGATGTGCTTCCACTGTGTTGAGATTCCAGTGCATGACTGGCCCGCCACATTTAAAACGATTGAAAGGAGCCGCTCAGATTGCTCACAATTGGAGCTGGCTGTGACCATACCCACATAGGCTTTGCCCACCTCGCAGATCCGCCAGTCTGTGCTCCCCTGCCAAGTTACCAACACCGGATTTAACCCGCCGCTGTGCGGAAATATGTCATGCGTTGCGCCAGATTTATGCCAGCCATAAAAATAGAGCCCACAGTCTCTCTATCATGTCCTGGCTCGTACCGTTGGGATTTGGAAGGAAAACTTAACTGGAGAGACCATCTCTCTGAGCCCCTCTGGATAAATGAGCATCCCACCCTTTCTGTAAGGTAAAGCAAACTTATTTATTTCTTTGGTCTTTTAGTTATGACCCACAGCACGTGACCAGAGGAGAGAAGAAAATAGATTGACTGGAAAATTGAGAGCTTCACCTTTCCATTCAGCTCCTTCATCACCACGACACACCGATGTCCCCATCAATGCAGGCGCTGCACCAATCCTCCTGCCGATCTCCTCTCCACTCTTCCATCACCCATGGACAAGACCCAAAGATACTTCAACTCCTTCACTCAGGGCAGTCGTGCTGATCTCTGCTCTGTAAACAATGTGCTTCACCTGGGCTGAATTTTAAGGGAATGAGTGGAGAGGTTTCGATTGGCTGGCAATCATGTTAGCTGTGTTTACTCCCACAATGGCGCAAACATCTATTTCTATCTGCGCCCATCTCCAAAAATGCCAAAAGAAAGAAAACTCCACCCATGCGTTCAGTTAGACTGCACTTTGTGTTTGACTTGTACCGGGCGTGAAAATGGGGCCTCGAGCGTCTGTGTGGAGTTTGCATGTTCTCCCCGGAGCTTGTGTGGCTATTGTCCATGTAATGCTTATTCCAACGGTCTATAAATTTTAGGTTAATTAAGACACTCAATTAAGCATTTGTGTAAATGTTCGGGTAAATGGTTGCGTGACTGGCAATCAGTCCTCACCTATTATCCTGAATAGGATAAGCAATAGAAAATGAATGGATGGAAGTCAATGGTATGATCTAAACCCAAGTGTATGCTTTGCACTCATTGAAGACAAACGTGAAGGCGGACACACAAACAAACAAGCAATGAAGTTCTAGCAAAGCATCCCTGGAGAGGATTTGCTGAGATCCCTCAGCTGCAGTTATTGACTACAAAGGAATTTCATCCAAGTTTCAGAAAAGTGGTGGCATTTACAATAATATCAATCGCACATTGTAAAAAATGAAATGCTTCTACTTAATGGTAAATTTGATGAAACACTGAATTAAAGCTGAATGTCGACACATCAGTCAAATCTTGATACTGTACGTTTATTTCAAATTCATTGTGATAGCGGATAAAAGAAAATTGATAAGAACTGCAATTGTCCAAATACTTTTGGTCCTAGACAGTGGAAATAAGAAACGCAAGAAAGAGGAGCAACCGGATTTGTCACCATGAAGGAGATAAAAGAAGAGCGAGAGAAATACAGCTAAAGGGAGGGAGGGATGTTGTGGGTACAGCGCTCCAGTTGGTGTTGCTATGGCCCTGCCCTCTCTGCTCACTGAGCCATTTCCTGTTTTTGACCTGAAATCTTTATTTAGAGTCATTCCTCCTCGCTGCTTGGCATTCATTCACGACACTGTAAAATCTAAAATCCAATTTTAGTGGTTAGTCATTTGGTACGATGAAGACTATTATCGGACCAGAGTTGCTTGCTTGAATTTTGACCAGTTACAAGGCTTTCTAATTGGTGATTAATCACAAATACCTACATTTGAAACAGAGATTATGTAACTGACAAAACCCTTGCAGGATGCTAGTAGACCTCTGATTTGTTTAGATAGGGTAGCAAATGTTCCCCATTGAAAATAATAGAGCTAGAAATACAGGGCCCCAAAAATCCAACGTTTGGAGGTTATGAAGAGTGCACAATGAAATACTTTGTGCAGCGGGGTGAGAATATGTCGCCACGCCGCACGAAAAAGCATGCTCAGTTACCGCCTACTTGCTGTTTTTCGTGATTGTTTTAAATTGATGGCCTCGAAGTATTTTTTTATTCAAATATTTACCGTAATTAGGACTTTACTGCCGCAGTTGTTTAGGTTATTGATAGACTACAGCGCATTTCAACTGGAAATAGTACATTACATTTCATTGAAAAGTAGTAATAACTACTAATACCTAATAAACTAACCTTAACTTTTGACAAGTGGCAGTCACTGTTGTCTCAGTGCGTTGTATGTGCGTGATGACTTCAGATGACTTCCTGGGTATATTCTTCTCTTTTCAGTCTTTGAACACCCCTCTCTCAGGCTGCACCTTCTTTTGGAATAAACGTTGAAAAAAAAAAGTCTCACACAGCATGCCGGCATCACATTTGTTGTCATTCATGGTGGCAGACAATTTTCTTTATTAAAAAAAAAAAATAAATAAATAATAAGCAAAGTGAAGTTTGACTATTGTACCCGCTACTTCATATTTAGTAACTGGGTAGTTACCGTACTTCATATTTAGTCATCACAACAGTCCTGAAATGGTTGAATACTATTATCCTTGTTTCTTGTTGCTCAATTCTTAAATTTCTCTCACTGGATTAATAATTTACAGCAGTGGTGGGCAGTGAGTTTTGCACCTAGGCCTTCAGTTGGTATTCGTGAGCGAATCTACCTCTTAATAGCGCCATAATGTCACAATATGTACCCCCCCACCCAAAAAAACAAAAAACAAACGCAAGAACTCCAAACTAATACAACACAATATATTACCTTACAATCAATTTTTATCAATATGAAAACGTTAAATAAATAAATAAATGACAGTAGTAGTCTGACTTGTTTACTCAACCATAACCACTCTGAAATAACCCCCCCTCCCCAACACCCCCAAAATTGAAAAGAATCCAGTCCGCAAAGCAGTGTTGGTTGAAATAGCTCCAAAGTGCAGTTTTTTTTTTGAAAAGTATGCCTTGAAAGTGAATTTTCAATCATGGTCTCATATCGTCCTCCATCGGAAATCAAGCTTTGGCCACACATCGAGCTGAATCAATCAGAAGCGATAGTATCTGAACCAATGAGAGGATGGAGAAACTCATGCATCACAGGGCCTGCAGAATGTTTTTTTTTCTGCAGGTGACACATCGAAGCTGAAATCTGATTGGACTAAAAAAAACAAAATTATCCACAAAGAACTGGAAGCTCGTGGCCAAGACATACACAATGAAATGAAGACAAAAGACTTGGAAATAAATTACTGCACAGTATTTCCATTTCTTTTGTGTTATAATTGTAGGTCTAGGCTACTGATTGTGTTTATGCCTGCAGAGAAGGCCGTGAAGGCCCGAAGGAACGCCACTAATTTACAGTATATCTGTTGATCGAGCCTGGCATATGGAGCATTGTGTAGTTGTGTTTAAGAAATAAAAAAAGTTCACTATTTAATCGCTGTCTAGGCTTTCACAGCATGAAGTGTGGAGGAAGGAAGGGGGAACATTTTTTATCCAGTCAAATCTCAGTGATAACATCATTTGCTATGCAACTTCCAAATATTTGTGGCATGCCGTTGAAGGAAATTGGATGTAGTAGTGTGATGAATGTGACTCTGTTGTGTAACTTCATCAACTTTTATTTTTATCCTCATTAAGAGTATGATCTGCATAGTTTGTAAAATGGTAGCAGTAGCAATTTTTTACAAATATAGTGTCACTTTCCACATTTCACCTTTGCATTTTACCCTTATCAGTGCTAATAGCCTGGAGAAAGACTGTCACTGTGGCCCACAGATTTTGCCTCTCAATATCATTTGTTGAAAAACCTCAACCTTTATGTTGCGCTTTCACAACAACTCAAATAATCATGTGAAAACAAAGTCATTCCCAATAGTTCACAGTTACTAATACTGTAGGAATAAAAGTTCATTTAAGAGTTATAAAAACTACGATCTATGCTTTTGCACAGATTCTAAGGAGTAATCATAATTTAGATCGTACTTAACAAAACAGATGCATCTCATGTGTTCCAAATATCCTGCTCAATAAAAACTGGAAATCCTCGGAACGGCTGTCTTGATCAAAGTCTGTTTTGAGAGTAGACATACTGTCTGGACAAACATGGAGCTCTGCATTGTTTTTGTGAGTGTATAGCAGCACAACGGTGAGTGTGCAATGGGGGGTGGTAAGCGCACACTTTCAGTTGCCCCGTCTTCTACACTCTAAAGCCCCACTGCTGTTTTGTCTGTTCAAACAACTGCCTATCTGTTATTTTACTGGTCAACCTGCCATCTGTTAATTTGGGATGCGATTTACTGGCACCACAGTGACCGCATCAACAACCTGAAAAACATCCTCATAGTTATAGTAATAGCCAGTTTAAAACGCAGTGGGTGGAGGGGGGGTGTACTCGGGGTGGAGTTAAATGAAATGGCGTCACGTCAGGGCAGCTGCTGCTGCTCTCTCGTCTAGCCCTTCTGTGTCAGCCCAGAAAGTGCGTGGCTATAGACAAAAGTACAGTGCAAGGATCTCTGTGGTGTAAAATGTTTCTATACCATCCGGCAGTTACATAAAAGCAAATATGGCTTGTACGTTTTGCCTGAGTAGTGGCTTTACAAGTTTCTCATAAAATTCCATAATAGACGTGTGACACAAGTGACGGTTAATAGGTTGAACAAATGGCAAGTGTTCTATTATTAATTATAATGCCCTCAAACACATCACTTCGCTGACAATGTATAATAAACACTGTAAAAAGGTGTGTGCTTAAGTCATGGTAACGGACTTCTTTTCTGTATATACAGTATATCGTGAATGTTTATTGTGTATAATTATACATTTCACGTGTGCCAGGCTGGGCTCATACGTTTTTTTGGCCCCATTTCCACTCAGGCGTCAAACGTCACGAATCTGTCAGTGGGTAGCCGGTTTTCGAAGTTTGTCCGACAGTCCGCGAAGGTAGCAGCGTTCCTCCGAGCTAGGCAGTTTCTCCCTGCGATCAGCGCCATTGTGTGACAGAGTCTCCAGCAGCGCGGACGCTTTGTGTTTCCCCCTGTAGAGTGGACTGTTTAAATCTACCAATGTTTCTCTTCCAAACTCCAGTGGACCTGAATCTGGTAAGACACTTAATCTCACTTCAAGTTGATCTCGAACATACACGTCAAGGTAACCGTAACTGTACAGAGAGCACCGCCGGGTTAACACAGTACATAATTTGTACCGAATTATAGACACGGGAATGCGGTCGTGTTTGTTAGAGCTGTGACCGATGGGACCTTAGAGAAAAGAAAGTTTTCGTAATAAAGGTCTTAAGACAAGACCCAAGCTATACTTAAATCGTCCTTCAATGTTCTTTAACAGCCAAGACAGTCGAGGGAACCTCCGCCGCTTTGCAGTTTATCCCAGTCGAGGAAAGTGGATCTTAACTTTTCCAGTTACCGTACTGTTTGCGTTTTGGCTCCAGCGATATGTTAACGATCACAACATTTTACATGTGCACCCTTTTAATGCTCGTTCTAGTATTGTTTGCCAGTATAGCTGCCGTAGCGTGTAATGTTTGAACCCGATTCAGTGGGACTGTCTCAGTCTTGGAGAGGGGGGTAGTGGTAGTGTTTTGTAACATGCACCACAACACAGCAGCCTGTTAGAATGACTGCAGTTCCTCTTCAGAGTCACTGACTGATTCTCAAGCGTCATATAGGTCGTGTCAGAGGTGTTAGGTCTGTCTGGAGCTGCAGAGGTGTTTGTCTGGTGGCATCTTAAACAATTGGAAGTGCTGCAGGAAAGTCGTCCAGGAGAGTACATGTCTTCAAGCAGCTCATGTTCCATAAGAAAGTGCATGGCATGGGACAGCTTTACTTGCATGTTATACCTATGCGAAGTACGTTTCTGTTTTGGTCAGAGCAGTGACAAGTTTCATTTTATAGCATGCAGTTTAACGGTGAAGTTCAAAGCTTGAATCTTGTTGACACTTCAATAGTTTAATCATTTATGGAGGGGCAAAAATTACTTCTTTCTGTAAATATATATATATTTTTTTTTTTTTTTTGGGGGAGGGGACAACCAACATTTCCTCATTTGTTGATGGTGTCATACTCCTCTAAAACAAGGAAGAATTTTGGAAAATTGTGAACGTTAAGGAAGAGTAGAATACATCCCTAAAAGCTTCTTTCTTTACTTTTGGAAGAAACATATGGACAAGTAGTCACTGATGATGGAGTGGTACACTCGCCTAACTTGTGTGTGGACAGGTGGGGTCGGTTCCTACTCGGTGACGGTGTGAATGTGGGCGCGGATGGTTGTCTGTCCCTATATGTGCCCTGCGACTGACTGCCGACCAGTTCAGGGGGGAGTCGGCCTTCTGCCCAAAGTCAGCTGGGGAAGGCTTCAGGAACACCCCACCACCCTGTTCAGGATAAGCAGTGTTGATAATGGATGGATCTAGACAAGTGACATGTTAGTTTCCAACACCAAAGCTTTGATGCAGTTATTCCCAACCAGGGTGCTTTTGCACATTAGTGTTTCGCAAGGGATCATTAAGATCATCAGGGGTGCTGCGGGAAATTCTCCAGTAATGCTTGTTAATTTGCTTGTAAATGTGTATTCATTAGTTATAAATGTATGTATTCGTCTACCTATGCCAGCGACATATAATGACACACAGATCAATGAAATGTTCTTCCAATATACGGCACAACATAAAATTAATTTGTGTATCTACTTGTTGCCACTCATACAACAGATCTAAGTCCTGTCTTCATGCGAGTATATCAACTTGCTGTAGTGTTCAACAGGCACAGACCTCACAGTAAGTACGTCAAGGTATGAGTAAATTGAAGCGAGATGAACATTATTTCAACAGTCATAATTTTTGTGACACTTTTGTGCAGTGAGATTTTTCGAATGTGAAATGGGTGTCCTGGCTGAATAAAGGTTGGGAAACACTTCTTTAAAGTCTGACATTAAGAGAGTTATTGGAGCCATTGTTGGTAGCTGAACAAGAGATGTATTAAACTGGGATATCTGGTAGTTAGCTGTACATCATTTCTGCAAAAGTAAGGTAGGTGTACTGCTGTCGTGAGGCAAGGAGAGTATACTGCAGCTGCTGGCGAGTACACTGCAGTAATAATGCTGGCATACTTTCGTATTAAGCCAGCTACACTACAATAGCAGGTAAGATATATTGGACTTAGGAGGTGAATATACTCCAGGATCACTCCATCATTAAGGCAGGGATGCCATAGTCGTGAGAGTCATTCTGTAATAAGAGGAAAATAAACTGCTGTAATGAGACAGGTGTGTAGCAGGTATACTGCAGTCGTAAAACAGGTGTACTGACATGTTAAGACATGTACACTTGAATAGTATGGTAGGTCAACTGCAGTAGTGGAGCAGCCATTGACAAGACAGATTGAGGTTGTAGATTTCAGTAGTTCCTGGGGCTGTCGCTGGAAGTGTCAAGATGCGTTTTCTCCCACCAGAGGCTAGCAAGGAAGAGAGGAGTGCTCCACAGCATGCAGACACGTCTGCTGACCTAAATTTACTTACTCCTCTGTCTTTTCTCTTCATACACCTAATGATAATAATTTAAGGAAAGAAACACTTCAGTGGCTGCTATTATTGCGAATGGATGTCATTCCAGAAAGCGCTTTTCATTGTTCAGTGTTAACATACAGTACTCATGATGCGTCATGCGTGTTCTGCTTTAATCAGACACTGAAGCACTTTCTTCAGTCGTTTTAAAGTTTTCCTTTTGAAAAGGGGAATAAAATTAGATATAATATTTAAAATTTGCCTCCAATCCTTGTTGCTGTCAGTCATCAAAAGGACAGTATATTGAAATCCATTCATCCATCCATATTCTTTTCCATTTATTTATCACTGTTCGGGTTTTTAACGTGCTCGAGGCTACACATCGGTGCCTCACGCCCAAAGCCAAAGGCGCGATGCACCCTCGACTGGTCAGCAGCCAATCGCAGGGACCATTCAATAAACAACCATTTACACTCACATTGACAACTAAGGACAGTTGACAGAAATCTCACACAAGCACAGTGGGCACATATAAACTCCACAAAGGAAGGTTGGAACCCGGATTCGAACCCTCAACCCCATAACCAAGACGTGGATGTGCTCACCACTCATCCACCATGCTGTCTTTTTTTAAATCCATCCTCTGAAAGTTAAAGGACACATTTGTGTTCGTTTAACTTTAAAGTAAACACGCATTTTCCATTGAAATCAGCATACGGACAAAACAAATACAAATTCTGTTGTAACGTAATCAATTTTGTATTCACTCACATGAGCATCACAGGCCTGTCCACTATCTCCACGTGAATATGCTCTGCAGGACGTCTAGTAGAAACTGTTGTGCTTTGTAACGAAGCCTGTCATTATGCAGGACGCTGTAGTGTTGTGAACTTGCGGTCTGATACGCAGCTGACCTCTGTCATGTGAATGATATCATGACGTGAGACAGAAACAAACACGTGCGCACACACGCACACAACCAAAGAACATAAATATGTCCCAGGTGAAGTTTGTATCACCATGATGTTAACTCAATGTACTTGTTTGGATCAGTCTGTTACTAAATCCTGAATAATTTGGTCACAACAAATGACCAGGATACTTCGACTTGCAAGTTTTTGAGGTATGAGCTGTTGATTTTTATTTGTTGGTTTGACTTGTGAGCAAAATTTAAGACACTTATTTGTTTGTTTGTGTCTTATTGTTTGGAGATAGTTACCAATTCTTCAATAAAGTGGGCAAGCGTATGCTTAAAGTTTTTTTGCCACTGTAATTTGAATTTTACCGTCAAACTAAATGTCAAATATGGAGGACTAGGCCTGTATTTCAAACAACCAGAAAACTGCTTTGCGAAATCTGCTAGCTTAATACTAACACAGTTCAAAATGCCATTGACAACCTGACAAAAACCATCGATGTTGGGGTGTTATGACTCTTTAAGAGACAGATATTTGAACAAATGGTGCAGCAGCACATATAGACAGACAATATAGCAATACGCACAGGCATATATTCTTTACGCTTTCCAAAAAAAAAAGACTAATATTACCTCAGCTTACTGAGCAATTGTGATCGTCTTTGTGCATATTCATATGCCTGGATTGTAATGCCCCCTGGTGGCCACACATTGGAAAGAGCCATACAATGATTTAAGAATATAAAGTACTGTTTTTATTATCAACACACATAACACATGACAATTATGATGAAACATGCATTTTTGGGAAGGATGGACCAGTTTAGTGGCATTTCCATTCATTTCAATGGGGAAAGATGACTTGAGGCACAAGTGTGTTGACTGTGAAGTGTGGTCATGGAACGATTTAAACTCGTAAGTCAAAGCAGCACTAGGGGTGGGCACTATGGGCTAAAAACAAATAGCTCGTTATTTTTTCAAAAACTCGATCGCCACCACTTGATGATGTTATCCCCCCAAATACTGGAAATCTGCACTTGCCTCACAGAATGGTTATGAGTAGACATCGTTTCTGACCAACTCTTGTTTGCATTTTACCTTTTTCGATACATCTTCTGCAAAACGTACAACCATTTTTATGGCAATATTTAACAATAAAGAATTTCAAATTATGTGCAGGCAATAAAAACAATTCAATATACTGCATCTTTTTTTATATAGCGCTTTCACAACAGCTGCAGCTGTGACAAAGTGCTTTACAGAACATTCAACATAAAATAACAAATATGATAGAACAGAAAAACAGAAAACATCGACAGTAATGCAGTTCGAACAACTGTTCCTACATACGCTTTGTTATTTGAAATGGTTATCGATGAAAGAGGAGAGAATTAAAATCTTGTTGGTTCAAGGGGTGTTTTAATTGATTTTGGAGAATATCTCTGGCAATTTATTTAATCTAGCTTCTCCTTCATGAGAGATATCAGCAAAGTCTGATGTGTAGTATGTAAATGTCTACCATTTGCAGCTACTACAGCAGTCAGAATGAAAAAAAAATAATAAGAGGGTTTCATGGGCGTGTTTCTGTAGCGGTAGTGGAGTCGCAAAATCATGTAATCCTTCACATAGTTCGTGGTAAATCACAAACATTGGCGAATTGTTTTTCAC